TAGAGACGGGGTTTCACCATGTTGACCAGGATGGTCTCGATCTGTTGATCTCGTGATCCACCTGCCTCGGCCTCCCAAAGTGCTGGGATTACAGGTGTGAGCCACCACACCCGGCCCCACATTTTTATATATAATTCTTATATGACTTGCCAACAGTATAATACTCACTAAGAAAAGGTAGCGTTCTTGTGCTGATGTGTTCCGAGCAGCTAGTTTGAGGATCTGTCCTTCTTTTATTAGTTCGTTTGAAGGGTTTACAATGTCTTCTTCTTCACCCAACATTTCATAAATCTCTAAGAGTTTCTTTAGGTTCTCCTAGGAAACGAAAACAAAACAGCAAGATCACATACAAGCAGGTTTCAACTTAGTAGCTTTAATAATACTCTGAGCTTAACTAAAATCTATATAATTCAGAAGGGACTGGGAGTAAGCATATATTTTGATATAAATTGCATCAGTTATTACCAAGTTCAGAGAGTTACTACGGATAACATTAAACATTTTGTAAGCATTCTTTTTGGTTCATCTATTTCAATTCACTTTGGTCCAAATCTACATAGATTTGGACAGTATTACTGACAATTGTCTAATCAGAAGGTTCCTGTCTCCTCTGAATACCACTTACCATTTTTCTTATTGCACTATTAGAATGGCTTGCTGCTGTAGATATAATTTCAAGTGATTCTACATGGGAAAAAAAGAAAAGTAAATAAATATGCTTTGTCCTTCCTGTGCTTCTATATAGCTGAATAACTTACTCAAAAATCTGAGACCAAAGATACAACAAAAACAGTGGCATTTTCCATTTATAAATTGGATACTTTCTAAAGTTCATTTGTAAGCAGATTACTTGAAACTTCATCTTTCCTTATAAAAAGTCATATATGAAGGTTAGGCTCACATGTTTAATCCATAATGAATCATCAAAATTGGCCAGGCGCGGTGGCTCAAGCCTGTAATCCCAGCATTTTGGGAGGCCGAGGCGGGTGGATCACGAGGTCAAGAGATCGAGACCATCCTGGTCAACACGGTGAAACCCTGTCTCTACTAAAAATACAAAAAATTAGCTGGGCATGGTGGCGCGTGCCTGTAATTCCAGCTACTCAGGAGGTTGAGGCAGGAGAATTGCCTGAACCCAGGAGGTGGAGGTTGCAGTGAGCCGAGATCGCGCCATTGCACTCCAGCCTGGGTAACGAGAGCGAAACTCTGTTCCCCCACCAAAAAAAAAAAAAAAGAATCATCAAAATTAATAAGGAGAGAGAGAAACATCACTGCTTTTCCTTAGTTCATCTCTTGAGCGGTGACCCCAGCCCAACTTATTTTGTCTCCCTCTATCCTGGATCCTGTATTGAGGGCACAGAACTGCCCAAATCAGAATAGTTTTCCAAAATGTAAACAAAAATTCAGTTTCTTCTATGCTCAAAGTTTTTGAAATTTACAGTGTACACCAACTCCATACTAGGTACTTTATTACAGTATCAATTCTTATACAGCCTTAAATCATTAAGTATTTTAGCTCCATTTGGCAGATGAACGAAATGGGGAAGTAATACAACTACGTTAAGGTCACAGAGCTATGCGATTGGAGGGCCATACTTAAACCCAGGTTTCTGACTCAAAAGTTCTTAAATATTTCAGCAGTAGTAAGCAGTTTACTAATTGTATGAGCAAATTAACTACTAAGCACAGCCTACTTTCTTTGGGAAAATACATTCACGGTTCTAGCCTGGGTTGGGTGAAAGGGGTCAGTGTTGGAGGGTTTTGTTGCTCGGGCAGGTGGGAATGGGAACTTTTTGGTGTGGACATCACAGGAGCTCCAGGGGCTGCTGGCGAAGAGGTGTCTTGCTGGACTGACCCCAGGGAAAACCTCTCAATCCTACATCACATCCTGTTTTTGTCCTTTCTTTTCTGTTTTGTGAATACTGGCCTGCCTAATTCTGTTACCACAACAACCCTGAGACTTTTCAACTACGTTTTTTTGTCTTCCATGCACTGCTGGACAGAATGCACTTTTGTTGCTTTCATTTCCACTTTCAGGTCACCAAAGGCCCTTCTTATGCGATTTCCTTAGAATTTTAGTGAAAGTAGCAATGGAAAAACAAACAAACAAAAAAAGTAATAAAATGCCATACCATGTCACCAACTACCTCATCTTTGATATAGGCATGTAAGGGGATACCAAAGTCTGAGCATAGAAGAAACTGAATTTTAATTTACATTTTAAAGAACTATTCTGATATGGGCAATGCTGTGCACTTGATACAAGATCCAGGATCCAGGAAGACAAAATAAGATGGGATAAAGCCACAGCTCTAGAGATGAGTTTGAGGAAGAGCAGTGCTGTTTCCACCTCCACCCCCACCACTAGATCTGCCACTCAAATCAAGCAGTCAGGCAAGATAGGTAGAAAATGGAGATAGGGCAGAGTTCCTAGGAAGTAGTTGGTTTCAGATGGGAAGTCAAGTTCATTCTATAGTATGGAAAGGGCGAACAGAGAAGAGAAGTTTCTGTGGTCAGAGTCACTCAAATGGTGGGAGAAACATATCTGAAACAGCTTGTGTTCAAGAAAAGGCTAAGGATCAGGGCCAGGCACGGTAGCTCACGCCTGTAATCCTAACACTTTGGGAAGCTGAGGTGGGTGGATCATCTGAGGTCAGATGTTTGAGAAAACACGTTTCTACTAAAATTACAAAAATCAGCTGAATAGCTTGAAATCAGAAGGTGGAGGCTGCAGTGAGCCAAGATCACATCACTATACTCCAGCCTGGGCAACAGAGTAAGACTCTTTCTCAAAAAAATAATAATAATTAAAAAAAGAAATGGCTAGCTGGGCGCAGTGGCTCACACCAGTAATCCCAGCACTTCGGGAGGCTGAGGTGGGAGGATCACGAGGTCAGGAGATAGAGGCTGTCCTGGCTAGGACAGTGAAACCTCATCTCTACTAAAAATACAAAAAATTAGCCAGTCATGGTGGCAGGTGCCTATAATGCGAGCTACTCGGGAGGCCGAGGCAGGAGAATTGCTTGAACCAGGGAGAGCCAGGGAGGCAGAGGTTGCAGTGAGCAGAGATCATGCCACTGCAATCCAGCCTGGACAACAGAGTGAGACTTAGTCTCAAAGTAAAAACAAAAAAGAAAAGGCTAACAATCCAAGACAAAAAATAATGTTTTATGTACTTTATCTCTCATCAAGATTCACTTAGGACAGAAAACAAATTATAAGGGAAAGTAGCAATGTTTTAAAGTTATACACAAGTACCATTACTGCTTGTTGAATATCAAGCCATTCTTATTTCTTAAATTTTCATTCATGCCTTTACAGTTGGTTGGTTTGTAAAAGTGCATGAAAAAGCTAAAGTATTATTGAAGTTCATAAGCCTTAAAAAAAATCAAAATCAAAAAAAAAAAAAAAAAACAAACCCTTTCAGCCGGGCACAGTGGCTCATGCCTGTAATCCCAGCACTTTGGGAAGCCGAGGCTGGTGGATTGTGAAGTCAAGAGATCGAGACCATCCTGGCCAACATGGTGAAGCCCCATCTCTACTAAAAATACAAAAATTAGCTGGGCATGCTGGCGTGCGCCTGTAATCCCAGCTATTCAGGAGGCTGAGGCAGGAGAATTCCTTAAACCCGGGAGGCGGAGGTTGCAGTGAGCAGAGATTGTGCCATTGCACTCCAGCCTGGTGACAGAACAAGATTCCGTCAAAAACAAAACCAAAACCCTTTCATTATAATCTAATGAAAAATAAGATAATCTAATAGAAGTGAAATAAAGTTTTCTTGGAGAAAATGTTATTGGACAATAAAAAGCACCATTTCCTGTTATGGTAGGAATGTTAGGGCAGGTAGAGCCAACTCTGCTTAGGTTGTTTTTACATAGTAAATGTCACCTTAGCTTTCTTGGCATGCACCAACCTATCTAATTAAATAGCAGCACTTGTAATTCTGAATGGTTGTATTCTTCCTCTGAGAAGGAAATTGTGTATTGCTATTCTAGATGTCTTTAAGACTGTAATTTTATATTTCAGAGCTACTGACTAACATGAAACCAGCAAAAGAAATGTGATTTGGATTGCTCTAAACTTGTCATTTTGGCTCAAAAGTGACTTGCCTAACTGAGGTGTTGATAACAATTTCCAGTGAAATTATCTTCTAATAGCAACATTTGACTCGAGTAGCTGTGAGATATACTTCCCTTTGAAACCATAAGGCTGCTTGGCCACTTGATTATTCCATAATAGGGAGAAAACAAAAATGTCATTTACTTTTAGCATCATTCCAGTCCAGGGAATCAGGAGGCAATTTCCTTAGATAGTCCTTAAGGAGCATCTCATACCGGGGAATCCGCTGAACAGGTTCTAGCATGTGATGCTGCAAAGTTAAGCTCCCACAGATTTTTTGTTTCTGTAATGAGAAAGGTTTTCTAAGAAACATTTAAAAATTAGGTTAGGTTATCAAGTCTAGAGGCTCAATGTAAAACGGAACTATCATCAAGGGCAATATTCTTCAACAAAGTGTAACTGTCCATCACCCGCATTAGACATATCTGGGCTGCTGTTTAGGATGCAGGTTTCTGGCTGGGAGCAGTGTCTCACAACTGTAATCCCAGCACTTTAGGAGGCTGAGGTGGGTGGATCACTTGAGGTCAGGAGTTCGAGACCAATCTGGCCAACATGGCAAAACTCCACCTCTACTAAAAATACAAAAATTAGCCAGGCGTGGTAGCACACGCCTGTAGTCCCAGCTACACAGGAGGCTGAGGCAGGAGAATCACTTGAACCCAGGAGACGGGTTTCAGTGAGCCGAGATTGTGCCACTTAGCCTGGGTGACAGAACGAGACTCTGTCTCAAAAAAAAAAGCAGATTGCTGAACCCCACCTCAATCTATAACATCACAATCTTTGGGGAAGGAGATAGAGAATATGCATTTTTTTCTTCTTTTTTTGAGATGCAGTCTCACTCTGTTGTCCAGGCATACAGTGGTGTGATCTCACTGCAACCTCTGCCTCCTCGATCCAAGTGGTCCTCCCAAGGAGGACTCAGCTTTCCAAGTAGCTGGGACTATAGGCACATGCCACCATGCTCAGCTAGAGAATATACATTTAAAAACACCCGATATTTCTATAACATTGAAGTTGAGGACTATCTGGTTTAAGAACAGGAAAGGTGGGGGCCAAGCACTGTGGCTCACGCCTGTAATCCCAGCACTTTGGGAGGCTGAGACTGGTAGATCACAAGGTCAGGAGATCGAGACCATCCTGGCTAACATGGTGAAACCTCAACTCTACTAAAAATACAAAAATGAGCCGGGCATGGTAATATGCACCTGTAATCCCAGCTACTCGGAAGGCTGAGGCAGGGGAATTGCTTGAACCTGGGAGCAGAGGTTGCAGTGAGCCGAGATCACGTCATTGCACTCCATCCTGGGTGACAGAGTGAGACTTCATCTCAAAAAAAAAGGAAAAAAAGCACACAGGGGGAAAAAAATGAAGCAGTATTTTAAGCAAGAAAATTCCAGATTGCTGACGACCACTTCAATTAGTCACTACAAGGGTTTGTGAAGTCACATTATTAAACCATTCTATAGAGATTTTTTAAAAGATGTGCCTATTTAATAAGGTCTGCTAAGAACGACTGTATTAAATGACTTTGGACTCAGCAGCAACTATTTCATAGCAAGGCTATGATAAATATCATTTCCTTTGGCTTTAAAAAAGACTCCATATAGAAGAACAAGATATGGGCATCTTTTATCTGTCAGAAAATTTTACTATTTCATTAGTTCAAAGCATTCTTTTTCATTAGAAACCAAATTTTGTGTAAATAGAGCTCCATTTCTTAGGGCAAAACTGAGTCTGTATCACTTGCTTTCAAGAAGCTGTTAACACAAGAGAGGAAAAAATAAGAAATGTCCTTGTTCCTGTTAAACAAAGAAGAAATCCCATTAAAATATATACTGAACTCACACCATGATCAGGGCACTGCAAGGCATCAAAGCTATATTAAGACATGGTGTTTGCAACTGAAGCAAACAAGTAACTAAAGGCTTCACAGAGAAGGGAACATTTAACACAACCTCTGATGAGTGCAGGCTTTGGAGAGAAAGACAGACTAGGGAGCAAGCCCAGGAGGAGAAACCTGAGAAGAGGACCACAGTAATGAAGCAAGAAATATGTTTAATGAAAGGAGCAGAGAGGTTTTCTTGGCAAATAAGATAAGTAGAAGGAAATGGAAGATGTAACATAAAGGCAATATGAGGTCATGATGCCAAGGTGAGTTTAGATTTTTTTTAATCTAATGTAGATTTTTGTGCATGACAGTTGTATTATTAGATCTGAGCTCTATTAGATTAACCTACTGCAGTGTGGCTTTGGGGAGACAGGGGTAACTAGTTTGGAAGTTGTTATTATAGACCAGGAAGAAAGTAAAAAGGGCCTGAAATTGGCATAGAAACTGAGAGAATAATAGCTTTCCTTCCTTAGATTTAAGATATTAATTCTATAAATTTAAATATCTCATTTGATTTTCCCCTAATCTATTATATACATCAAGGAAAGCATTACTGATACCAAATATTTTACATGAAGAAACTGTGGCTCTGATAATTTAGAAGCGTTTTCTAAGGTCAAGTGACTCTAAGTGGCAGACTAGGATTCTAAACTAGGTTAGTTGATTCCTTATCTACGACTCTTTTCACAACCCACGTCATTTCGTCATAATATGGTGAAGACAGACATTGCAGAGACAGAATTCAGAGTATGATAAGACAGTAACTACCACCATCACCATCATTTAGTGAGCAATTACTATGCAACAAGCACTATGGTAAGCACTTCAAATACATTATTTCACAGGCAAATGAACACATACAGAGAAAGAAGAAATGTAACAAATCAAAGATAAAGCTATGTTGTCAAGCTCTGGTGAATGACAGGATAATGATGTCACCTAATAAATCCAATACATATCAGAATAATTATCTACTCTGTGCAAGGCCTAAAAAGTCAGATGGAAAAATGCTTGCGAGCTAAAAATAGGAAAGGAAAATGTTGACTTTGTTTGGATGACAAGATGTTCACATGCTTGGCCATTTGTACCTGGAGTTTGGGAGTGGAGAATTAGACTAGAACAGCAACCCTAGAGGAAATCTATCTGGCAAGATAGAGGCAGGAGGGAATAGGATATGAATGAAAAGTATGAAAAGAAAGAAGATCACAGAAGGCAAACTCTTTGTGCTCTGCCCACATTTCAGTATTAGCAAAAGAAGCTGGTAAAAATCAAAGAAGGAGCCCAGTATTCAGTAAGGTAGGCAAGTGTTTAATTACAAAAGAAAAAAATGTTTAAAAAAAAAAAAAGGAGTGGAGGGGATGAGGTAGGCCTTCTGGCTATAGCTGAATGAAGAGACTGACAAATCCTCCCTGTTAAAAGCAGTTTATAGGCCAGGTGCAGTGACTTATGCCTGTAACATCAGCACTTTGGAAGGCCGAGGTGCGGGTGATCATTTGAGGCCAGAAGTTTGAGACCAGTCCAGCCAACATGGAAAAACCCTGTCTCTACTAAAAATACAAAAATTAGCTGGGTATAGTGGCACACACCTGTAATCCCAGCTACTTGGGAAGCTGATGCCTGAGAATCACTTGAACCCAGGAGGCAGAGGTTGCAGTGAGTCAATATCACGCCACTGCACTCCAGCTTGGGTGACAGAGCGAGACTCTACCTTCAAAAAAATGAAAAATAAAAAATAAAAGCAGCTATAAAGCTAGATAAAATTGACAAAATAATATAAGCATCTTAGAAATTGATTACAAGGTAAGCAACAATCTGGAATGTGTTTACACTTTAAAAACTGTTGAACTTTGGGTAAGAATGGTGAGAATCTGTGGCATTCTAGCCTGGGGCTGCTCCTGTCCCTCTCCCAGCTCAGTCACTACGAAGGGGCCTCCAGGGTGGCATGGGCTATGAGGACTGGTGAGTGGCTCTTCTGCTGAGGCTGAAAAGGGCTCATTCAATTTGGAGTGGTGGGGAACACACACACCCAACAGCATCAGTAGAAGTGAAGATCCCTGAAGTGGGTGAGTGGTGACAGCCAGTAGCTCCACTAGCTAGATGTTGTGGTTGTGGATGCGAAAAATATAATAATTGAAAAGAAAAATTCACTATAGATTCAACAGCAGATTTGAGAAGAATCAGGGAACTTGAAGAAAGACTAGTAGAAATTAAAGAATCTGAATAATAGAAGAAAGATTGGGAGGATCACTTGAATCCAGGAATTCAAGGTCAGCCTAGGCAACATAGCAGGACACCATCTCTAAAACAAACAAAAGGAACCCACCAAAATTTGTGTAATGGAAGTCAAAAGATTAAACAAAAAACAGAAAATGAAAAAGACAGAAAATATTGGAAGAAATAATGGCCGAAAACTTCTGAAAATGATTTTTTTTTAAAAAAGGTCAACCAACCCTAACTAGGACAAATATAAAAAGGTCCACACCCAGATGCATCATATTTGAACCGGTGAAAGCCAAAAACAGAGAAAATCTTGAAAACATCAAGAAAAAAGTGACTCATCACATGCATGGGAGTATCAATACAATCAATGGCTGGTTTCTTGTCTGAAACCAAGGAGGATCGAAAGCAGGAGAATGACATATTCAAAGTCCTGGGGGAAAACCCCATATCCTGGCTGAGTGCAGTGGCTTATGCCTGCAATCTCAGCACTCTGGAAGGCCGAGTCTAGGTGTTCAAGACCAGCCTGGGCAACATAGCAAGACCCTGTCTCTATAAAAAATCTAAAATTTAGCCAAGGGGGGTAGCGCACACCTGCAGTCCCAGCTTACTTGAGAGGCTGAGGTGGGAGGATTGCTTGAGCCCAGATGTTCAAGGTTGCAGTGAGCTGTGACTGGGCCACCGCACTCTAGCTAGGGTGACGAGCAAGACCTTGTCTCTAAAAAAATAATAAAAATTATAAAAACAAAATAAAAAATAAAAAAGGAAAAACCCATATACCAGGAATTCAGAATCTAGCAAAACTGAACTTCATTCTTCATTCATTCAAAAGTCAAGAAAAAATAAGCATAGTCCCAGACAAACAAAGACCGACAGAATGCATTGCTAGTTGGCCTGCTTTATAAGAAACAACAATTACTTATGCTGAGAGAAAGTTACTCCAAAATGGCCAAATATAAAAGTTAATATAAAATAGACTTATAGGTACATTTTTTCTCATACCCTTCCTTAACAATTATAGCACTGTATTATAGACTCACGACATATAAAAACGTAATATACAGGACACGAATAGCACAGACGAGGGAACAGAGCTATACTGGAACAAAGCGTCTATGTTTTACAAGAATTAAGGTGAGTATAATCTGAAGTACATTGTGAAAAATTAAGATGCACACTATAATCCTAAAAGCAACCACTGTAAAATAACTCAAAAAATAGTTAGACAATTAGAGGAATTAAAATGGTACAATTAAAAAAGTTCATATCACACAAAAGAAGACAGTCAATGAACAACAGAATTCCCACACCAAGAATCTTAGATGACCTAAAATATGCCTTTTCAATATTTAAACTGTATCAAAGAATATGATATTAATAATTTTGACTAGAAAATCAAGTGGAAATTATTATGGTATTATTAAAGTGTATTATTTAGGTTTGGTGAAACAGAAGAAAATGAGGATACAGGTACCAAGTGACAAAAGAAAAGAATGGTTAGTTTCCAAAATCTTGGGGTTTACAGCAATCATTCTATATTCGTTTACATTCCTTTCAACAACTCAACCACTGAAACAATGCAAGAGAGGCACAGACCTGAAAGGAAACTCATTTTGTAAATTTATGTAGACCCTAATAAAAATCATCCTCTGCTGGCCTCAAAAGCAAATGGAGACGTTATTGTTTAGTATGCAGCATGTGACTTATATACATTTCAGCTTTGCAAAGATGATCTCCGCATAATTTGGAGTAGAATACATTTTGCTAGGTATCTCGGACAGATCTCTAGATCTCAATTTTAGATATAGAAGACTATATAATTTGTATGGAAATAGTAATTCATAGCTTTGAATGAAATAGTCCTATTACCTGAATTTCTTCAACCAATGATTTGAACTGGGGAATACGTTCTGTCATGTTCTTAACCAATTCCATTGCGTTATCAAATCCTTTCACATATTCTCCATACATCTTAAGAAATGGTGCCAATTTCTGAAGGATATCTCCAATTCTAGGGGTAGTTTCCCTGTATCAAATATAGAAAAACCAGTCATTAAAATTACTTTTCTTTTATTTTTGAAACAGGGTCTCATTCTGTCATTCAGACTATAATACAGTGGTATGATCACAGGTCACTGCAACCTCGACCTCCCAGGCTCAATCAATCCTCCAGCTTCAGCCCCCTTAGTAGCTGGGACTACAGCTGTGCGCCACCACGCCTGGCTAGTTTTTTGAATTTTTTGTAGAGATGGGGTTTCACCATGTTACCCAGGCTGGTCTTGAACTCCTGGGCTCAAGTGATCTGCCTGCCTTGGCCTCCTAAAGTCCTGGGATTACAGGTATGAGCCATCATGCCTGGCACATTAAGATTTCTTATAGAATAAGCAAATTGACAGGACTAGAGAGGAAGTAATCACACCCTGTGCTTTATCTCATTCACCATACTGTGAGGCAGGTAGGGAATGACGCAGCACCTTTTTAAAGGGACTATAGGAATGACATAGCAAAGAGAGATGCTCTGGAATTCTTGAAGCTCCACATTACCCGATATTTTGTCTTCACTAGTTAAATGATAGTTTGGAGAGCAGACATGAAGTTCTTTGTACCACAACGTCTATCAGTGGTCTTCAATGTAAACATTTAGCATAAATGTCTAGCTACAGTTGTGTGTGGCATTTCTATTTCAATTTAAAAGCTGAAAAATACAGCATCTTACATGACTGCCTTAACTTATCATTTTCTATCTACTCCTCTTACCATTCTTGCATTCGTTTCTCCAGCTCTGGCAAGAGGAATTTACTATGGAAGGCATTTATTGATGAAATATTAGAAAAGATTTTATTCACCATCTCTGCTGGAAATGAGCCTCGGTTTGCTTCTTCCAACAGTTTGCAATAAAATACCTGAATAAAAGAATAATGCAAGCATTACTTCACATTTAGTGGTTAACCACCCAGCACTGTGCTAGGCACAGAGTGGGCTCGTAGAACTTTTTATTGAGCAAATGGAAAAGTTTACGGTTCAAGAAATCCATCATTGGAAATTTAGGAGTGAGTATATGCTTTGATTTAGAAGACTCAGGAATAAGAATTAGGAAGCTTTGATTCTAATCTAGGCTATGCTCCCATCAATAGGAATATTATGGCGAATAATTTACCTTTTCTGTGCCAGAAAATTTCCAACTCAGGTTAATAGAATTTCTTTCCTAGCCATAAGCCAGAGTTAAGAAATGTGAACACACTTTATGTACACACAATAATTGTGGTATTTCTCACTTCTCTTTATGTTTTGAAAGACTTCTATGGCACTTATTACATATTTCTCTTTATTGTAGTTTGCTGACATAAATCTCATTTTTCCTATTAAAACCGTATGCTCCTTGGGAAAGAAGAATATCATCATTTAGTTCCCACAACAGAACAAGTACATAATATCTGGCCAGTGAATGGACAAAGGAATATATCAATTCTTAACTATTTACTTGCTTTTTAGTAAATAACAATGCACACTAACTAAAAACATTGATATGTAGGGGAAAAAGTCTCTTTCTACACATAATAACACATACCTCAAAGACAAAAAAAACCCCAAAACCCACACGAACCTTCGGTCTTGGCTATACTTCACTAGGGCTACTATACCTCTTAATTGCCATTCTGTTACATGTAGGCAGAAGGAGGTCTATTCCTTCATAATGTCCAGATGGTTCTTAATTTTCTAAATTCACCTCCACTGCATTTTCTTGAGAGGCAAAAAGAACACAAAATTATGTCCTTAGAGGCTCCAATAGTTAGGTTACTGTAGTAATTAGGACTCTAGAATTCTAAAAGTTCAGCAACAGCAGCTGATAAGTTATTTGGCTTTAAATAAAAAAATACGACACAACTTGCTAAGAGAAAAGAAATATCTCCACTATGGGAATATCTAAAATTTCAGGTCTGTAATCCCTATAAGGAAGAAAGTTCTTTCAAACGTACAAACTTGACGTGATTTGATTTTGGCTTATGATGAAATTTCTTCAAAAATGATCTGATCCATAAACTCATTCCTTCAAAGAGCAGAAGATTTAAAATGGCTTCTCACAGCTCACCCTAGCAGGCAAGCGGTTCACTTCTGGAACCGATGATGAAGAGGTAGCCACAGGATTGCCTGTTTCCATGAAATTCCAGTTTTCACTGGCACAAGTGGGACAATTCTTATAAGTAACCCTCTACATGACAGCTTTCCCTTCTAACAAGGAGTCTGTATGGGCAATCTACCATTTGTCCTATTCTTCATTGCTGAAACAGGATTAAGATGCCTTAGTGGCCAGGCGCAGTGGCTCATGCCTGTAATCCTAGCACTTTGGGAGGCCGAGGCAGGCGGATCATGAGGTCAGGAGTTTGAGACCAGCCTGGCCAACTTGGTGAAACTAAATGATCTGAGCTGGTGTAGTCATAGGGCCAGAAGGATTTTGAAAGTTCACTTGTTCAACCTTGTATGAAACATTTAATATAGTACCTGGCATAAAGTTGCCTAGCCGATATTTGTTTAATGTGTGAAACTACTTTATCACATTTTGTACTTTCATCATGGAACCTTGAGTATCATTTCAAATATACACTTGGAAAATCTAAGAGCATAAGAATAACTTTTGAAAACTAAAGCATCTCTTTTTTTTTTTTTTTAGAGATGGAGTCTCACCCTATTGCCCAGGCTGGAGTGCAGTAGTGCGATCTTAGCTCACTGCAACCTCTGCCTCCCGGTTTCAAGTGATTCTCCTGCCTCAGCCTCCCAAGTAGCTGGAATTATGGGCATGCGCCACCACGCCCAGCTGATTTTTTGTATCTTCAGTAGAGACAGGGTTTCATCATACTGGCCAGGCTGGTCACTAAGTGCTAGGATTCCAGGTGTGAGCCACAGCACCCAGCCAAAATCATCAATATATTATTTAGAATATAATGGTAACATGGTCCCCAGGATGACAATTAAAGGTCAAGAAACAGACTAGTGTTTAAGTTACAGGACACTGATAAACACATTTTGTGATTTATACAGAGAGAAACCTCTACTCTTCACAAATTAGAAAATGCTTATACCTAGTGAATTCACTGACAAAGCTGAAAATGCTAGATTTACTTGAGCAAGAACCTTTCACTAGCCAAACACAGGGCCTTCCTTCATGCAGTTTCTAAAATACTGTAATTACTAGATTAAAACCATGTACAATGCAAAATCATAAAATAATTCTGAGAAACAAAATCTTACCTGATCTAAGAGGTCTAACCGGTTGACATAAGCTCTTTCGGTAAGCAAAAGTTCATTGGCTATTTTGTGAAGTTTTTCCTCATTAGTCTCCTAAAAATTGAACAGATATTCACACATTAGGAAAAAACTTTGGACAATATTTCTAAAGTAAAAATCACATCTTCAAATGATTTGATCAAAACAGTTTTCTCAAGCTTCTCAGTTACCTAGTTCTTCCAGCCATCAAGAGATGTCAGATAAGAAATGAACAAAAGGAGAAATTAGCGAGCAGCTGGATTTAAACTAGAGTTTCTCCTTTGACCTCTACAGCAGTTACCACTATAGTTATCTACCCTTTTCCTGGAAATTTTTTATCTTTTTCAGTTCCTAGCATTACCCTTTCTTCATTTTTCCATTTTTCTCAGGCTACACTTTGGAAATTCATCACTCAGACATCTTGTCTAACTATCAGCTGTATACGCTAAATTTTTATTAAAAAACATTTTATTAGGCCAGCTGCAGTGGCTCATGCCTATAATTCCAACACTTTGGGAGGAGGTTGAGGCTGTGTGAGACATGACTGTGCCACTGCACTCTAGCCTGGGCAACAGAGCAAAACCCTATCTCCAAAAAACAAAAAAAAGGAGAAAAACTTCAATCAAATAATACAGAAAATAGTAAGGTGAACCCCTACATGCCCATCAATGAGATTCCACAACTATCAACTCATTGTTAATCTTGTTTCATTTATGCTCCCCCTCACCTGTCTGCCCATATTATTTCGAATTAAATTCCACTTTATTTCTTCAGTATGTATTTATTTAACCCTTAAATTTATTTATATAACCCTGCCAGTTTCATGATGACAGAAACTTTTTTTTCTTATTAGCTGCTGTGCCTCCTGTGCTTACTACAATGCTTCAATGAAAACACTGGTACTCAATACAAAATTACTCAACGAATGAATGAATGAGTAGCAATCACATACCTAACTATTCAACTATTGCTGGACATGTATGACTACTTTGACATGCTGACGACACAAGACCAAATTCATCTTTTCTGAGAAACCTCTACCCTACTACTAACTCTAATTTTCTCTTCCTAGTAATGGTACAGTTAGCTGCCTTTGAAATCTTGAATTAGTTTAAACTTAGTTCTCTACTATGGGATCCTGACTGCTACCAAGTCCTATTTATGATACTATGTCTTTAGCATTTATCCTTTAAGCTCTCAACACTGCCACCCTGTTTTGCTCATCTCTTCTCAAGCCCCTGCCAATCAATAGCTATCAAATAATCTGATTCCAATATTTTATGGCTCTAATTTACCTTGTGTTGTTGTATGAGGAATCTTTCTAAAACTTCCCTTTGTTTCACATTTATAAAGCAGTCAAGAATGAGTGAATTCTTTGAATACTAAAAAGAAACAGTATTTCCAGAGAGTTAAGCCATTGTCTAATGAATGTTTTTATTTTTGTATTTTGTCAACTGTTTTGTGGAATTCTTTCTAATGTATATGCTAAGATTTTTGCTCTGAGAAAAATATGCAAGTGTATATCCTTCCATGTACTTCTCTAGGGCTATTTATCTTCAGTGAAAAGAAAATTCTAAACTTAAAAAAAAAAACATTGCACACATAATTCTACTTTCATAGGAAAGCCTTCAGTAGTCTTCCTCTAATTGACAGGATAAAATCCATACTATGTATATTCAGGGTTATTCAAACCTCTACTCACTTCCTCAAACTTCCTTCTCATTCTATCATCACAGGCCCATTTCTCCAAACACATCGCTCAAATGTATGTTTGATTATTATCCAAATGCGCCTCTGGTCATCTCTAAACCTTTCTTCTTTCCATCCTCTCCCTCAGCCTGGCATATGCTTTCTTCTTTCCTTCTCCTCCTATAGCCTGGCATATGCTCTTGCTACTGTAGCTCTCTAGGTGTCTAAGACACTTTTCGTTTTGACTGCTGAATTTTCATTCTTGTCCATAGAGCCTTCTTCAACTATTTAAAGCCCTTGGGCTTCATCCTACTGGAAGGTATTTTATATTTCAAACATAAATATTTGTAGTGAAAACTTTCTATCTAGTACTTTGCTGAAATACCCTTTCTCTGTAGGAGATTATAAAGTATCATAAAAGTTTAGGCAAAACTCTAGAAGCATATTTTAAGTAGACCAAAGCATATTTTAAGCCAGAGCCTAACTTTGGTATAAACACTATATTTTCAACTGTGTATAAATGCTATTAAATCCTATGACTATTTCACTGTGTTCATCACATGACATCTACTTCATGCTTTATACTTTACACACAAGATCCATTCTAACATGTAAAGTTAATGTGTTGTTTCTTACAGTGGCATTGAAATGAGGTATTTTTATGTGAAGTCCTCAGGTAAAGCAGTATAACAGTGTTTAAATAATTAGTGGTCTCAGAAACACAGAAATAAGATATAGTCATTTAATTCTACAATTAGGCAAAGTTTTGGCTTAACTTAATACAATTCAGGATAATGTTCTGGCAATGTTCTAGATTGGCATATTTCCCATCTCTCATTTCTTATTAGTATCCAGATTGGGTTAGTGTATATATTAGTACTATACAGCCAATTCCTCTGGGGAAACAGACTTTATTTCCAGATCAAAAGGTGGGGCCCTGAATAATGTAAGAATCCAAGTACATAGTGACTGGTTCCAGGTACACAGTGATTGGTTCCAGAGACAATGAGATATGAGGAAACATACACTGAAGGCTTTGGCAACAGGAAGCTTCCTTCCCTTAAGGCAGAGCCAACGGGAGACATCTCTTTTTGGGGCTCCTAGAGAATGACAGTATATGTAGGCTTAAGTGTTATGAGCAGCCAGTCCACAACCACAGGAATGAAGACAATAAACTTCATTCTTGTTTAGGCCAGGCTAAGTGTTACATGTGACCAGAAGCATCCAGAATGGTATATGACACATATGCAGGATACTCCATGAAATTTAAAAACCTAAGTAATTTTGAAGCAATTACTACTTATAAGGAGAAAGGGATAAAAAATTAAATAACTTGTGGGATAAAAATGTGAGTTTCCAACTATAATAAGTAAACATAAATGCATAGTAAATACATAAGACCAAAACCTAAAATGCAATAAAATAAATAAATGGGAAAAAAAAATACATAAGAAACCTATTAACATTTCAGAGGAAGATACAGGAATATGCTGTCCTTCGTATTCCAAAGAAATACTCCCCTGCATCAATGTTGTAAGCTGTTTGCTTTATTTTGCTTTTCTAAGCAAGAATGATTGAGGCATAATTTATAAACAGTAAAATTCACCCTTTTTGGTGTATAGTTCCAGGAGTTTTGACAAATGCACCTGAAAATGTAACCCAGACGTCCCCAGCCTTTTTGGTACCAGGGACTGGTTTCATGAAAGACAATTTTTCCATTGACTGGGTTGGGGCGGCAGAGGGGGGAGATGGTTTTAGGATGATTTGAGCACATTACATTTATTGTGTACTTTATTTCTATTATTATTACATTGTAATATAAAAGGAAGTAATTGTACAACTTACCATAATGCAGAATCAGCAGGAAACCTGAGCTTGTTTTCCTGCAACTAGACAGTCCCATCTGGGGTTGATGGGTGACAGTGACAGATCATCAGGCATTAGATTCTCATAAGGAGCATGCAACCTAGATCTCTCACATGCGCAGTTCACAATAGGGTTTAACTTCCTATGAGAATCTAATGCTGCTGCTGATCTGACAGGAGGTAGAGCTCAGATAGTAATGTGAATGATGGGGAGCACCTATACATACAGATGAAGCTTAACTTGCTTGCTCATCTGCTCCACTGCTCACGTCCTGCTGTGCGGCCCCATCCAAAACAGGCTATGGATCAGCTAGTACCAGTCTGTGGCCAATGGGCTGGGGACCCCTGATATAACCACTACCACAGTCAAAATATGGAATATTTCCATCCTGCTGCAACTATTTCTGTGCCCCTTTGTAGTCCACCCCCTCTCTGCTCCTAGCACCAGATCCTGGTACCTACTGATGTTTCCTTTTCTATAATGTCATATAAATACATGTGCTTTTTGAGTCTTGCTTCTGTCATTCAGTAAAATTCATTTGAAATAATGCATGTTGTTATTCATTTGAAATAATGCATGCAGTAGTTTATTCTTTTCAAGCCCTTGGTTTTATTCTGATAGTGGTGACGGTGATTCTTTTGACTCATTCATACCCTATGTTCTGATTCGAATTCTGACAATATCTTTAAAGAGAGCAACTTGGCAGAACTTATGCCATGATAAAATAATACATCTTTCATGAATCAGAGAATATATTAACTAGCAGATCTTACTGTGTATTACTGCTATGCAGTGAAGTCACCCCTGAGGTCTTCCACAGTCCTAAAGAATCTTAAATAGGAAGCTTATCAGAAACAATCTTTGCTGACTGCAAGGCATGCTTTAGCTGAACTTGGCAACTGTGGATATCCTGGTCAGATTTTGCAAAATCCAAGAGGGATGCCAGCAGTTATTAGCAAAAGCTATGCTCTCTTTACACAGATGGTCTACATGTTATGTCCCTAACCCTGACAAAGCCAACACAAAGATAAGCAAAAAGTAAGTTTGCAGACAACATACGGTTTAATCACCCACTTACATACAGGATTTGCAGAAAAATTACTAGGGATTTCGAGATGGAGATGAGAAAATCTTGGACCAATGGTGCCTTGCTTTAGGTCAATCAAAACAGCAATAATAATTACCATAATAATAAAAGCTAACACACATTAACTGTTGTGTGCCAGACACCATTACAATTATTTTACATAAACTGATGAATCCTTACAACGATAAGTAACATTATTATTTCTATTTTACAAACAGCACACATACCACAAAACAAAATCCCTAAAATGCAATAAAGATAAATAAATAAAATAATAAATAAATAAAAAACAAAATCCTGAGGCTCAAAGTGGCCAGGTTACTTACCCAAGGTCAGAGAATTAGAAACTAACTGTATCACATAGGCAAGTACACGATTTTAAGTTACTATTCATGATATACCTTGGTCACTCTCATCTTTCTTTGCAACGAAA